AACCACGCGAGTTTTTACCGTTAGATGGGCCCAGTTTTTAATTGTCGTGCTGTTTGTCATCAAATCGCCTTGGGTTATTCAGATTGACCAAACTACAATAGTGCCATCATCAAGTTACTGAGGTACCTATTCAGCCAGCATGGAGTAACCGAGAAGTTGGCTAAAGGCAACGGCAGTCAGTTCACCACCTTCGACTTCCCCGATCACTGTGCATAAAATTGCATCACACATTTGTGTTCTCCACCATTCCGTCTTCAGTCAAATAACCAAGCAGAGCCATTTGTTAACACATCCAAGTCGTCAGCTGTAAAAATGGGATGGTATGGTACTACCTAGGAGATCCTGGATGCATTCTTGTTGATGTACAGTACCACTCCGATCCCACAATCGTCGAACCAAATATCGCCCGCGGAAGCATTTATGGGCAGGTAGCTCCAGACCCCACATAAATGGTTACTTTCAACACACGATGCCGCACAATAGAAAAGATTATAGATGATGAGGAAGTGAAAGTTGTGGCATGGAAGAAAACTAGGTCATTTCACTTCCCTGTAGAATGTCGTGGTCATGGACTACGATGAAGGAACGCCACAGTGTACGATGAAAGTAATGAAAAATAGACGCAGCAAGGTGCTGTGTGAAGTCGCAGTGCGTGACCTCATCTGCACCAGCCACGTAAATCAGCTCACGCCGTAAGCCACATTTGTAACTACAGACTCCTTTTCTAGTTAGCAGCTACAGTCATCTGAAAATGTATTTTCCATGGATAACAGAGGTGCTGTGTCTAACTGTCATTCCAGTTTTTCAGAACCTTAACTCCCTACGCCTGACATTCGTACTGTTAGTTGTTGCACGCCATAGAACAACACCTGTTGAAATGGAACTTAATTCAGCCTCTCCTATCACCATAGTACCAAATATTTTTCATGATATCACCTACATGGCATGATTAAACATCCATCACCCTATACATTTGAAAGTTATACAAAGGCCCCGGTAGAAATATGAGGATTTGTGGTGATTGTTTTGCAACTTTGTTCGTGCAATCATCATTTGCTCTGTAGGTCACCCGCGGGAATAAACGTACACTACTGGGAGTCACGCCGTCCCCACTCCTTATGCGTATCATGGCAGTTAAACTATCAGACCTACAGATACAGTAACGAAACTGTTTGAACAAACAATAGGGCGCGCTACCTCCTCCGTTCACCGCATATGTCTAAAGCAGGATGCTACACCCGTAGCTATTTCTCAGCCACGTCCAATTACTTTGTCCAGAAGGGAGGCTATTTCGTCAGCATTACGACAAGCTTTTGCATATGATCGTAATGAACCCATCCACTGTTTTAAATGAATCCACTTTATGGTTACAGTCCTCAAAAAGGACGGTACAGTGAGAAAATGCAATGAGCTGCATGTCCTAAATCGTCAAATCGTGGTAGAAAAGTGTGTGCTTCCAACCGCGGATAAACTAATAGACAAACTAGCTGGCTCCAGAATTTATTCAAAATTGGACCTTAAGAAGTCTTCCTCACATGCCTCTAATTCATGAGTCAGCCCAAGCAAAACTGTCTATCTCTTCCAGCCTTCATCGGAGATACAATCCGAAATGTTGCCGCAAACCTTTATTGGTAACGAAGTTTTCGAAGCCACCTCCAGCTTCTGTTACCTTAGGTGTGTGGTTTCGACTGATCGGTAACAACACGATTAGCTTAGTGTCAGCGTATTTTCAATATGGCTCCAGAAGTCAAATTGAAACAAGGGCAGGATGCAAAGAAAAGACAAATGCGTAAGTTCGGGCGTTTAATGTCTGTGCATCCTAATACTACCTGTCCTACTGACAGTTCCGGGTCTATTAGTACATATTGTAATGAGTTCATATGTCAACTAGGGTTTTTGAATGAAACGGAATGTAGATTGTTGGAGAAAGGCTTGACATTTACCATCAATAAATCTAAGATATATGCCTTAGAGATTATCCCAAGCATTGAGAGTGCGATGGCAAAGTTGCCCGCTGCGAAGGCAGAGAATATTGGAGCTCAGTTAGTAAATATCATTAAGTTTCAGCAACCGGGAGAACCAAATCTTCCGCAGACTGAACACATCGCATTAAATTTCTTGAACGGAGCTCGCAGTATTGTACTTACAAAGGCTGACAAGGGAAAAACCCTGGTTGTAATGAATAATTCAGAATACATGGAAAAATTGGGACAACACTTGGAGACGGGTTCATATGGAATAGTTGTTGATAAGACAGTGACGTCGGTAATAAACGAGAGTAAAACGGAGGTTGGCAACTATTTAAGATTCGTGAAGGACGATTTAGGGGCAGGCAAGTGGAACAGTCACTGTCCAAAATGGACTTAACCTCCGAGGGTTTATGGCTTGCAAAATGTTCACAAACCCGAACTCCCCGTACGGTCCATAGTCGACGGTATTGGTTTCCCGACCCATGAACTTCCTAGATACTTTGCAAGGCTATTGCAGCCTCTAACAGGGCGAACGAGTACATTCGTGAGAAACTCTTATGAGTTCGCTCAAAAGATAGCATCTCAAAATTGAGTCAGATGATTTGATGATCAGCTTCGATGTCACATCACTTTTCACAAGTGTACCCAAAGAAGAGGCGCTAGGAATAACAAGACGTTGTCTAAATGAAGACGTCACTCGGAAAGATCGGACGAAACTAACAGTTAACCAGATAAGCGAGGGAATGACAGTGTGTCTTGACATATCTTACTTCGTTTTTCAGTCGAAACTTTACAGTCAGGAACAAGGTCTCGCAATGGAGTCGCCAATATCCCCTGTGCTGGCGAACCTGTATATGGAAGACTTCGAGAACACGGCGTTAACAAACACCATTAACTCACCAAAAGTTTGGTGGCGAGATGTAGACGACACCCTTGTACTTGTTAAAAGGATAAGAAGGACGAATTTCTTGATCACTTAAACTCCATTGATGAGAGAATACAATTTACTGTTGAGTTGGAATCTGGTAGCGGTACAATACAATTTCTTGACTGCCTGGTTCACAGGAATAGGGGAAATTTAAAGACGACACTATATCGCAAGCCAATGGATACTGAAGGTCTACTCCACTACACATCGGGTCATCCGAAACAGGTTTATGCTGGAATAGCCTCAACGCTGTTCTACAAGGCACAAACCTTGTGCACGATGGAGGAGGACAAAAAGGCTGCGTGGAAAGTGGCAATGAGCAACCTATTAGAAAGCGGTTACCCACGGCGACTAGTCAAACGTCAAGTGCATAAAGTACTGCACCGGCAGTCAAGACCCACAGCCGAGTGGATAGGGACGGTCGGAATTCCGTACAAGGAAGTCACTTCTGAGGCAATTCGGAGGGTATTAAACAAGGAAAATATAAAGGTGATCTTTCAGCGAGGTCAAACATTGCGTTAGGCGCTGGTAGACCTGAAAGACTCCTTCCCAAGGATAGGACGATTAACTGTGTTTATAAAATTAAATGTAAGGACTGTGCACATGTCTACATAGGCCAAACAGCGAGAGAATTACGCACACGAATTTCGGAGCATAGGAGGCGCATTTCAAGACTACCAAGAAACGAGTTTGAATACCAGGCAATAGTAAGAGACTTGGCCGTAGCTGTGCATGAATTAGACACGGGTCACCAGATAAACCTCGACGACGTAGAGGTAATTAGGAGGGACATACGATCAACATCTCAGCGGTTGGTTGCCGAGGCTGTGGAAATTTTCAAATCTGATGACTGCGTGAATAGAATTGAGAGGGTAGAATTCCCTGGTGCATTGCGGGCGGTTTTAAGACGGCCAGCTTGAGGAGCATCGGTGCGTGGATCAGATTGGAAAGTGCAAACCGACACCCATTGTCAAGACTATGGGCATGTTCGTCAATGTCATGATGCACAAAGGAACACCTGGACTATTCCCACTGTATTTAAGCCACCTGAGGTGACATCACGAACGGTTGCTGTAATGACGTCATGACTCAAGTCTCGGGTAACGCGGTTTTCGCTCCTGTTCGCTTCAAAAATCCGATCCCAATTGCAATGCTTCACCTGGTCTGACGAAGTCCTTGTGTCAAGAGCGAAACGTTACCAAACTACTATACCAACCGATAATTTCTAAACCTCTCTGAACTCATGACTACTCTCTCGGTTCCAAGTATCTTTCAAGAATTTGGAAGCAAAACTGACTTTCGGAACTATATTTTCTGTCCCTGGTCAAGTTTTCACTCCAGTTGCCAACAGTAACCCTGACCACTTCACTTACGTTACTAAATTGAGGAATCACATAAGGCACGCTGCAACAAGTTCAGGGAAATTATCAGACGTTCAGCCTTATCTCTTCCTGCACTCATGTTTTATTCATGAGGACTTTGATATACTCTCTTTAAAACCACTGCATGAAGATCTAATATTTTTTTCTTGCATTCGCTACAAAACATTTTACTGTCCAGCTACACGATAGAACAGACACTGTTAGCTTTGACCGCTTGAAACCTGCTACTCCTGAAATTCTGTAGTCCATAACAGCAGATGATACCCGAATCTACAAGGACAATAGGCCATCGACGTCTCCGACAGCAACTTATACAGCCGAGATTTCCACCAAGGAAACCATACGCAGCAATCGATCCACACGAGATGTCAGTTGACCTGATCGTTTTGTTGCCAAGCGAAACCTGTGACATAACTTTTAATTTAATATCCTCTACAAAATATGCGCTCACTTATATTAGGAGGGTATGGTTGCGTCCAAATACATCTTTCTCCAACGTATGTTTTGGTGTTGTACTTTCACACGCACACACAACACAAGTTAAGCATAAAACCTAATACGCCACGTGGTCTACTCTAACTGATATATATCCGCTGATAACAAAGCATTTTGTACTCTATCACTTTTGACGCCGGTGGGTAGAACACGTGACGAATCTAAGCCATTGAGAAAGTACTTTATCTCACACCCATTCAAAGCTCATATCCTTGTCACATCAAGACGCAACACACCACAGTTGGAACGACCGGTAGATGAGACTTCTCTCTCACACTTGTTTGTATCATTTTTACCTGTAAATATTACCACTTATATTAGTGTCTAGCCTTCTGGTTTTATAACTAGGCTCGATATAATCGGCACTAATTACTTTAATTGTTTTCGTCTACTGTAAACTTTCCTGGAACTTGCATCGTTTAATGTACCGGAGATGCTGCATGCTAGATTCCGATCTCGCTCACATCTTTGAGAGCAAAATTTTAACCGTTATACCAATCAGCAGCCGTGACACATACAATTGGTTTTTGTTGCCGATTCGATGGCCATGCTTCTATATTTCGCACCACAGATTCAGCAGCATAAGCATTGGTCCACTTAAGAAAGCGTAAGCAATTCTGTTATGCGTCTCTTGGTTCAGTTAAGAACGTTCACTTCTTCTCTTTTGTCGTATGCAAAGTTTGACCCAAATCGCGCACCTGATTCTCCATGACAATTTTTGACCATATCCAATCAGAAGGTGTCGCTGCTGGCTCCGGCGTCTCTGACCGTTTAGTAGCACCTGACATTGTGTGCGAGTAACTTGGGTCATATCTAACCTGTGGTATTCTAACCTACGAATTGGATTAGTTCATATCACAGCTATACGAATATCGTGTTACTCTCGATGTTAAACAGTTTTCGCCAAATGGTAACCGAGCTGGAAAGCTGATTTTAATGTTTATAATCTGGTGTGAATATTGATTTGCATATAATTTGATTCTTCTCAGGTCGCTGTGAACATATTTTGCTAACCAAACCACAGCGAAACGTACAGTTTCATCAGAATCTGTAGGTTTCTCAGTCCAAACACCCCATGCTGCGTTACAAACTCATCACCTTTTACTTGATTGCCGGATACTCCTTTCACTTCCTAAAAGAAAGATGTTTGGTTTCCATGACATATCAAAAGTCTTACACTTGCGTCTGATGCGCATATAAACTCTGATTCCCGGTTCACCCATCATTTAGATTATTCTGCTAATTCTGAACATATATTGGTAGTTGCCATTTTGGAAACAATATTTTCCGACGAAATCTCGCGTGCGTACTTGCCTCAAAGTTCACGCACACTACATAGTCTGTAGGAAGCCCACGTTACCAAAGCTAACGACACGCGTTCCATAGTTATTTAAAAGTATTCGTTCTGTGAATAGATTGCGACATGCAATCACAATGTACACCGTGAAACACCCTGAAGGGATCTTTGGTCAACGAAATGTTTTCGGCAAGAAAGCACCCGATTTTGATCCAACCACACACTTTGAACAAGGTACCATGAATCTATACGGATTAAGAAGCAATGCTTTACAATTCATGGTAGGTAGTTTGGTAAGGTAATCGAAAACACAATATGAAAACAATTAGTACATTAAGTATGAAAGTAGCTTACCGTTTCAAAGCTGCATTTATGGAGCACGCTTTGTGGTTGGTTTGCGAATCGCAACCTCTATGGAGACCTCGGTTCACCTTTAGGTAAACCTCGGTCATCCCGATCTTGTGGACCGTATCCTGAAAGGAAATATTTGGGTGTTGCTCTCTCCAGCCCTGGCACACTATGACCGCAGTTTCGTCTTGGTTCCGACTCGTCAGGTGGAGATGGCGTGAGATGGGTTGGAACTCAGACATTAGTAGTTCACTGCTGACGCCTTGAACTCAATGTTACTAAGATCTGCGAGCAACGTTTGGCACAACGGAAAGTAATTCAAAGCTGCATTTATGGAGCACGCTTACCGTTTGCTTCGCCGTGGTGCTGCATTCTACGTAGTTTCATAGCATTCAGGAGTAACAGCACGAAAAGCTAGGTATATTTCAGTCGTAGGATGGTAACGTACTTTTATGTAACAAAGTGTAAGTGTATGAGTGCATCCTCTATCCGCCTTCTAAATATTGTTGGTATCGATGCAGAGATGTTTAATGCAAGGAGAACATGCTACAAGTTACATACACGGATGGAAGCGAAGATTTCTGTCGTACTCCAAACTTCTATACTGTTCTGCGAATTACATTGTGTAACCTCTCAGTTTTGTATTTCTGCTGTTGCAGTAAAGAGCGATGCACACGTTGTGGTTCATGCCTCAGTAAGGTACCTGCAGTTTCAAAGTTGTTCCTCAAAGTGTTCCGAAACTGACGACAGCTGAAACATGTGTTCATCAGTTCAATTGCATGCCATAAACTAAACCTCAGACAAACTCTTTCGATCAGTTGGATTCGTCGAATGACTTTTTATTTTGCAAGCAATTTACTGGTACACAAAATGAGCAGTGGAACCAGCAGGAAGCTAGTGTATTAAGGTATGTACAGAACGTGTCTTTAGATTAAAAAGTGTCGTTTAACTAAATATAAGTACAATTAGAAACGGACAATAAACAGGACACGGCGGTCGTATTTGCTTTAGCAACAGCCGGTGACCAGCTGCCGACCGATTCGTACTGCGTATATCTGTGTTTTCTTATAACAAGTTGCAGTCTGCCTTTAAGAAAGTGATTGATTTGAAATGACTAGAAGATTAATTCCATCCCAATTGTAAAGACTAAACGTAGCGTAGACCATGTAATCGCCCGAGGCACGATGGTGCAACTGTGCACGAGTAACCCTTACTAAACACACGGTCTAGGTTTGCAAAACCAATGAGGAAAGTTGGAGAATGGAAGACGTGCGTTGGTTTGCGCAAACGGCACAGTGGACCAGTTTGCTTATCGGCAGTCTGCCATTGGTGAAATATGTGATCTTGAAGAGTCAACGATAACTCCTTTGTGTGAAGTGAAAATGCCAAGCGTTTCATAACGTAATAATGTATATTGTACTTTTGTAACTTTAATTGTAATCTAATTGTAGTAGTGTAACGTTCTGTAAGGAAGTAATTGTGGGGATCAAGAAAAGTTTGTTAATTCCTTAACTAGCTAATCTAATTGAGCTAATAATTCACAATTATCGAGCTACTAGTTATTTCGCCAGATAACTGGCTCAGTATAATTTCACACTCTCATTCATGGTCACACATTATTGATGGCAATTAAAATGCGAATATTATTAAGGCAGTTTCATTGCTTAACAGGCATAGAACTCCTACGTTGCGAATAAAACGAGCATTAGTTACTAATTTCGCATCCAAGCTAAATAATTCCTAGACGACCAACTTGAACATCGGATGATCGACTTGCAATCAAGCATAATATCCGCTAACCTTAACGCGACAGGAAAGAATTTAGCGGTGGGTCTTATTAATAAAACAATGCCAGTTGGCTGCGGCGGAATCAGTTAACGTTTGGCTGAGCGCACTTCAATTTGTGAAGTTAGATCGCGGGAACGAGAGTTCGTTAAATTATACGATGTATATGTCCGTAAGTCCTCAATATCGCGACATTTTCACTTTGCTTGTTTTTGCATTAATTTTGTCAAATGGGGCAACCATATAAGCAGTACAAAAGCGATAGGCAGAAATGCAACCGGAATAATTTTGTTATGTCATTGAGTAGTTAAACATTTGGTGTTCTCCTTCTAGTTGTAGAAGGACAATCCGAAGTCCCCTTCTTTTACTGTAGTAAGCCAGCGTTATATGCATTCGGCATTCCTTTATAGATTACACGATAAATTTATAAGAAGCATAATTATGTTGCTGTTCCCGTCTCCCCAGATACTCCTAACAACGTGATTTCGAAAATCCGGGTTGCAAATTGCGGAGATCCACCATGCAATCTATATAGAGGACACTTTTCTAAAATATGGGTAGATATTGATCCACGTGAGCAAGCTGGACTTGACTATTTGCTGACCAAAATGCCGCTTGTATACACGCTGATGATGAGGCACTTCAATTATGTCTTTTCTAACAGGATACAATATCAGTCTTGGCACCGTCTATTTAACAGCAGTGGAACATCAAACTAAAAAAGATAAGTTTTTTGATTCAGACACTTGGTGCAACAATAAAGCCTACTCTCATTGTGAATTTGAGAGACATGGAAGTTATAACACATGATCACATTTGATACCCGTGTTCCCTGACAGCGCTACCGTAAGTGACATAATTAGTTCCTCAACCGAAGGACGCTTGAACTCGTTCGGACATCATGATCAAGTAATGTGAATATTATTAGAGTAAGAATGTTGTTAACATAGATTCATCATCATAGAACAGAAAAGCATAAGGGGCAAGTTGCAGAATTGATATCTAAAGTAACCGGGTAACAAGCAGTTTATTGATGGTGTGTAGATATACAGGCAAAGCCAAACTTCCTCATATAACAAAGCCAACATTAACAACTTTATTTAGCGATATTTAAATGAAACAACATTTACCGAACTCGTAATTAAATGATGGTTATTGATAGTTTGTTAGAAATAATCTGAGAACAATTATATTAAAATAATTTGTGATCATAGTTATATTTATAGTGATATTTTGCGTTCTTTTTCCAGGGAGCTCAGGTATTAGAATGGACATTTGAACAAAATGGTCAAACGGAGGCTTGCGTAATGTTTATGGTTATAGTTAACTAGCAATCTGGTAAAGTGCGCTGAATTAATCCTATGTGGCGAATTCATGAATTTTGTATGTGTTTTTCCATAATACACAGCAAATTCCCAAGATTATTTTATTAGTACGCCATAAGACTGCAACCTGCGTTGGTACTAGAATGGAGATCATAGCAGTTGTCACATTTACATTGTCTTAACTTTACCCGATTTTACGTGGAATAAAGCTAGCTTCCTTTTTCGCACACTTGGCTAGCATAATCTAGACTGTCCTCGACATTAGGCCCTAGCGTCTGGTGTACATTACGTAACCAAAGATATCTAAAAACTAGGGAAAATTGCGCGTATTGTATCCCACAAATGCTTTGTGGAAAGTTTGAACTACTTGAACTTGTGAACTACTGGGAAGAAAGCCTTATCAACGTTTGGAACCCATTGTGTCTATTCTAGCCTGCTTTGTTGTTGTTGTACTTATCGATTAATTTGGAATCTGCCAAATAATCAAGGTAGCTGATGGATGGATCAAAGCGTAATCAATATCTTTGGGATAGCGAAGACCCCGAGAATACCCAATGCGTCATGAGTTTCGAAATGAGGCCGAAGTGAGGCGTTACATCTGCAGTCAACTTTGACAAACTTGGAAATCGCGTGGGTATATTATCTGTCATAATAACGAAAATCGGCATATTCTCATCGAAATACAGGCCACCACGTTTGATCCGATCGCAAGGTGCCGCAGAAATTGCAACTGCAATTACAGGGTTTCTGTAGACGTATAAGGTAATTGCTTTTTCATTGATTCTTTTGGCATGCGTGTAATATAAACAAGGCTTCGGCCTTGACGTCAATCGTGAATAGTTCAGACTCGTTGATCGTCGTTTTGCATACAGGACAAACAGCAAGCGCAAAACAATTGTGCTTAGAATCGTTTGTAATATACAGTATATACGGTGTAACTTTTAAAAATATAGACGACATTTGAACGGACAGGGCAACACCTCAAGGATAAACAATTAAACCGAGAACTGTCCATGTTATGGACTAATTAATCAGTTAGAACGATTGATGCGCCTCACACAGAAGGTAACTGGAAAACTGTATATAATTTAATTGAACAATGAACAATAGACAATAAACGGTACATAATCACGGATTAACATGCAGGTGCTTAACAAGCCCAGTAGGATGCTGGGTAACACTATAAAATTAAGATATAGGAGTCATCTACCCAGCGTTTACTGAGATAAATTCTTGGATAAATAACGTTACTATAAATCATAATTCGATGTATGCGCACAGAAATAAACGGGGTGCAGAGATTGTTGACGTAAATCTCGATAGAAGTGAAATATGGTCGGTCACCCATGCACCTTTTTTTGGGTCATCGTGACTAATTAGTCCGATGGAAGAGCATGAGCAATATAACCAACAATAGCCAAGTCTGGCCAATGAATTTTCAGGATTTAAGAGAAAGATTCAATCGTTCTTTGAAAATATCCAGTAGGATAGGAAACAGTTAAGTTCGGGAGATATTTACGGTGTTGGAAAACCCGAAGAGAAAAGTAACTCCGTCGACACTCTACATGGCTGCATTGTTCACTGTTGCAAGCATTTGCCTCTGAGCTTAGTAGTGTGGCGGTTTCAGCAAGCGGCGACATAGTTGTTTGGGATCACCCAATATTTGGTACATTATTATGAGATCTTCATGCAGCCTTCAATAGCGTCCGTTGAAACCTGAGATTAACGTCAGCCTTTGCTAGTAACAACCATTGCCTGGGCTCTATACATTGTTTGGTACCGTGTGTTTCGTTGTCTGGTGCACCATCAGTGACCTTCAACCGACTTTGTTTAATCATGAATAGTGTATTTAACTTGACGGCGCACATCGAGCTTGTGCCTCTTCGGGAACATGGAGGTATCACATCTTTCGAATGCCATTTGCAAGACTGACGTGCTATTCACAAATTACCGCAGCTGCGACAATAATATTTGAACCGTACAGGTTACTCTGTATGAACACACCTTTGTCATGTTACTGGGAGCGGCTTTGAACTCGTGTGATGCGTGTGTCTAAACTATACCTTAACGTGATGCGACGATTTGCCTACCTTCTTGACCTATTGAGCTATACTAGGTGGCGCCTCCGGGCAAATTTAGAGCTACTCCCACCAGGTTGGTCAATAGTAAGAGGTCGGGCAAACTCAGTCTCCTGGTCCTCAGGTTGGAGTTTTGAAATGTGAGGGTGTCTGTTTCTGTAAAATGAAAACACTGCCACCTCCTCGTTGCATTACAGACAGGCTTTTGATCCAGACTTTATGTTTGACGATCGTAATTGCCCTGATGTCTGGGTCTGGATGGCCTGACAGTATCTCAGCTCACATACAACCTTGACATTTTCTGTAAACATAAACGTCTTCCTGCATCGGTCTTCGCGCAGCTTATCGAGAGTCGCCTTACCTCCTGTATACAACAGCGCGGAGAAGCAAAAGCATGCTATCGTTTACAGTTCCTTCTAGGGCCACGCTGTCCAGTTTTCAAGGAGGAGGACAAACAGATCAACAGACTGCACTCGCGCACACCTTGGACACACTGGGTATTGATGTGTGTTGTGTGTCCGAAACTAGAATTAATGATCCTAACGGGGTTGTTGAGTTAACTGCACCCAGCTTATCCTCTCGTTATTAGTTGCACGCATCCGGGGACGCCGATGCACCACTCAGTGTTTAAGCCATTTAAAGTATCATTCTAAGCTCTAAGGCTGCGCCTTGGTTGATTGAATTTATTGCGGTGTACATCCCTTATTGTGCAGCCCGTTTGACGACATCAGTTAAGGTTGATTCACCATGCAGTACAAAAATCCGTTTCTTTGTGTTTTCTGCTTATGCTCCCACCGACTGTATTTCTAATGTTGTCAAGGACACATTCGGTCACGAACTGAACGCGCTACTACTCAGTGCTATTAGTTCACATATTATAGTACCCATAGGAGATGTGAAAGCACAAGTGGGGCGCCTAAGCTCTTCAGAATCGCAGCTAGGTGGTTAGTATGGGCTTAACTCCGAACAGACTGACATCGGTGAGCGTCTGCTGAAACTGTGTTGTCGGAGCACCAGTTGTTGCGTTTTAGCACCGCTTTTGGACTCAGTGGGCACTGAGGTGCCACTTGGCGTCCTCCCGTAGCTGGCCAGCGATATACCCAAATTGATCTAATAGACAAAAGTTACAGGTAGCGTGGTTTATCCTGGATTGCCGCTCGTACAAGAATAAGTGCATCGACTCGGATCATGCTTTGCCACGCCGCAGCATTAACGGGAGGCGCAACAAACGTATCCTCCAATTGGCAAATGAGGAATTGTCTCAGCCCACGGTAAGGCAAGCCCTTCAACACGCACTGCATAACTATATTTAGCTGTCTTTTTCTAACGACACTGCGCTTCAGTGGAATAGAATCTCCGCCACCATGTACGATGCAGGAGCATCTGCCTGTGACAGTATCCATCGTCACCGTACTAGTCACTAGATATCCGACAGGTCGGTGAACCTGTTGGGATCTATAATACAGCTCCTGGCCGGCTCTGAGCACAAGGTGACCAGAATGGCTATTAGGCGCGAACTAAAGGGGGGTCTACTTGCTAGCAAGAAAGCCAGCTGGACAATTTTGGGCTCAAGAAAAGGAGAAGGCAGGAGCGGTAGGCAATTACCGCAAGGTGTTTCAACTGATCCGCACCATTTGTCCCAGGAAACCTGACGTCAGTGAGACAACTAGAGAGAGCTCAGGTGAACTGATACACAATAAGGAGCGCCGTATGGTTCGTTAGGCGGAACACTTTCAAGATCACTTCAGCTGGCCCCCTGTTTCCGGACTTCTTCGTACTCAGGTGTTGCAGGACGAGTCATGGACGGTTACTTTAGAGCCTCTTCCGGATATCGAAGTCCGAAATGTGGTCAGAGATGTCAAACGTTTTCTTGCCGCTGGCCCAAATTCCCTCAAACTATTATTATTTACGGATGAAGGTGTGGTCTTCTGCCAAATATTAACAAACCTATTCGAACGCACCTGGAAGGAAGTGTCCCGGGTAATTGGAGCGATTCGATTTTAGTGGAAATTTACAAGAAGCGCAGTCGCACGGACTGTTCTACCTACAGGGGTATAAGGTTAACGCCAATCTTGGCCGAATTACTAGTCTCGATTCTCGTTCGTCGCCTCACAGTGAAACGTGAATATCGGATTAGAGAAGAGCAGACTGGTTTCCGCCCAGGTCGTGGCTGTATAGACCATACTTTCACACTGCGGCAGGTGCTAGAACGGCGCCACGCATACCGCAGACTGACAATACCTATATTCCTCGATTACAAGTATGCGTTCGATTCAGTCGATCGTTTAATTCTGTACGAATTATTTCGCGGAAGCTTTATCTCAAGAAACATGTGAGCATCCTTCACGCTCTGTATTCGAGTACTACAGGTTGCATTAGGTTCTACCTTGGTCTACCGGATAGCTTTTCGCTCAAAATGATCGGTCGTCAGAGTTTCCCGACTGCCCCACTTTTGTTCAACTTCGTCGGGGATTGTATCGTGGGGTGTTCCCTTGCGGAATCTCACGATGTAGGCGTTAATGTGCTGCCTGGCGAAAGATTAGTTGCTCATGATTATGTTGACGATACCGTCTTGTTTTCAACGACATTGCGGCGTCCCAATCCATCATGAGAAATCTGTCTAGAATTATCGCATTTATTGACATGCGCCTCAGCTTTTAAGTACAAATTGTTGCTGCAATATCACCAGCCACTTTCTGACCCCATAAACCTTGCTAATGAGAAACTCTAGGTGATTGATAAAATCATTTATCTTTGCAGCTGCATCAGCAACGATGGGCGCATAGAAACTGGTGTCAGCTCACGCATTGCAAATGCTAGAACTGCCTTCTTGAGCCTGCGGCATATTTGGCGACATAAGGGTTCTCTTTTCGTTT